CTAACATTCTCCTTTCCCTTCCTCCCCCACAACAAACACTCTGTGAGGTGAGTGAGGCTGAGAGACTTCAAAGAAGTGTGACTAGCCCAAGGTCACCCAGCAGCTGCATGTGGAGGAGCGTGGATGCGAACCCGGTTCACCAGATTACGAGTCTACTGCTCTTAACCACTACACCACACAGGCAGTGGTCTTCTCCAAGTTGCAGGCAGGGGTCTTTCCCAGTATCATGAGGTGATGCCAGGGATAGAACCGGGGCCCTTCTGCAAAGAAAGGATGTGCTCTGCCGCTGAACTTAGGAATGCCTTTGCGCAACCAACATGCAAGTTAGATGGCTGAGTGTGTGCACACGGCAGCTGCCCCACAGAGAACATAAGAAGAGCCTGCTGGATCAGGCCAATGGCTCATCTAGTCCCACATCCTGTTCTCACAGTGGCCATGCCCACTGGAAACTCCCCAAGCAGGATCTGAGAAGAAGAACACTCTCCCCTCTTGTGGCTGTGAGCAACTGGCATTTGGAAACATTGCTGCTTCCAGGAGGCAGAGTCAGGAATAGGTGAGAAAACACCAGAGTCAGTGAAGTTTACTCTTTATTCAAAGAAACCAAACCAGGCCTAGTGATCACAGCAACTCTTCCCAGTAGGTCTTGCCCCAATGAGGCAGTTGCAAGGACTTGCCTTTGTTAGTATTTCACTCCTCTGATGCTGCACATGACATTGGTGTAAATTGGTGTAAATCACATGCCAGTCTGGGAAGAGCATGGGAACGGACGACAGTCTTATGTCTTCTGTTGTATGTACTATTGTGCTGTACTTTTGCTTTTACTTGTTTCTGGTTTCCCTCTCAGAGCTGGAGAGAGAGGACGCCATGATTCCTTTGTCTGTACATAGTGTGTAAATAAATACGTAGATTAGCGTTACGATGTCTCACGCTTCTTGCTGTGTTATGCTAGAAGATTAGTCTGCATATATCATTTGATATATGTCGCTGAAGGAGAAGAAGGGAAATGCCTTTTCCAGCGCTGCGCATACTGAAGGATGCTCGGAGTTCGGGGCTGCAGGGGCACCCCCAAGGTGTTTTCCAACAGCCTTCCCACCGATCTCTGAGGCCCCTTCCTTGGTTCCTTCCCCAGCAGCCTAAGTCTTGTCTCTCTTTGCTTTGACCTCTTTATACCTCTTCGGGTTCTTGGATACCAGTGGGGAGGGAAGATGGTCGCAGCAGGAGGGGGAGACTCCCTGTATTCTTCAGAAGCCTGCCTCATCTCTATCTCCTGGCCCACCTCCTCTTCTGCCTCTGAGTCTGAACCGCTCTCTGTCACAGCCTCTTCCTGCTCACTAAACCCTGTTGCCTCTTCAGCTTCTGATACTGCCTCCTCCCAGTCAGCTCTCTCTTCTGCCTCTGACCATGAATCATCGTCCCACCACCAGTCTCCTGCCACTTAACCTTCTTCCCCTGGGGGTTCCCTTGGGGGTTTCCCAGCTGCTGCCTCCTACCACTTCACTGCATCCAACCAGTCCATGACAGGGGCAATTGGCTCACACTCTTAGCTGGTTTTAACCACCGGATATCTCCAGAAAGATGTCTAAGTTCTGTGACAATTTCAGAGGCCCAATTTCCCCCACCAAGACTTTGTCAGAAGTACTCAAGCAAATTTCTCTAGGCTCCTTTAACTCCTGATGCTTTTCTCATTTGGGATCTTCCCAACTGATTGCCATCCATCAGCCTTTCAATTTTTGGGGACAGGAAGGCAAGCGGAACCGAGTTTGCAGAAAGGTCAGCTCTGAAGTGAGTCTGGGCAGCGGCCAAAATGTACTTAGCTGGATTGAAGCTGGTGTAACCCAGCTCATTGTTAAAGTCATTATTAATATCATCAGAAAAGGTGGCTGCGCTATTTATGCAGATATTTTAAACTAGGTCTGCGACATCAAAATTTGTGTCAGCTGAGAGGTCAGGCTTACCAGCTCTTTCCCTAAGTGGTGCTTAATGGGGAATGATCGCTGGATTCTGTTCTGGCAGTTCTCAGCACTGGCCATTGTGTTGAGTTCCACCCACACCCACATAGAGAGGTATATTTAATTTGATAGAATTTGATTTTGGCATTTGATTTTTTATTTTATCTATAAAAGTATTTATATACTACAATATTAGGGTGGTGTACAACTAAGGCCAACCCAAAACAAAATGGGTATGTTTAGCCTGGAGAAGAAGAGACTGAGAAGAGATATGACAGAGCATCTTCAGATATTTAAAGGGCTGTCACACGGAAGATGGAGCAAGCTAGTTTTCCCTTGCTCTGGAAGCTAGGACCCGAACCAATGGATTCAAGTTACAAGAAAGGAGATTCCAACTAAACATCAGGAAGACCTTTCTGACAGTAAGAGCTGTTCGACAGTGGAACGGTCTCCCTCAGAAGGTTGTGGGCTCTCCTTCCTTGGAGGCTTTTAAGCAGAGGTTGGCTGGCCATCTGTCATGGATGCTTTAGCTGAGATTCCTGCATTTCAGGGGGTTGGACTAGATGACCCTCATGGTCCCTTCCAATTCTACTTTTCTATGACTCTAAGATTGTATGGTGCTCCCCTCCAGGGTAGATCTACATCAAGAACGTGTGTGTGTGTGTGTGTGTGTAGAGAAAGATCAACATTGTATCTGCTGCCCCAGTAAATTCTGCCACCTGAGGCAATTGCTTCACCTTGCCTTATGGGTGGGCCAGTGAGCATGTGGCCTGCAGTGAGGTTATGGAATGACGAGAGTCCTAAGGACCAGATAAAGAGATCTGGAGGACTTCATTTGGCCCCCAGGGCTGTGTTTCCTCATGTCGGCACTAGGTTGTGTAAAAGACTATCCACTATTTCATCCCCCAACCTATTAACAACAGGCAGTCTTCAGAAACAGATTGCTTGTTAATATGGGGTAATAATACTCAAGAAGTTTGCAGCATCACACACACACACCTACATGTGCCAATACCCTTACTATTTCTGTAGTGAATCAATGCCAGATGTTAATGGAGGCTAAAAGGGATCACCAAACCAAAGATGCACTATATTAAGGCGTGACAGCAATTATCTTTCCTCTGAATGGGGGAATATATGTCATGTCAGAATGTAGTGACTAGATTCAGCTGCTCCACACTATAATTGCTACTCACTCTACTTAACATTTGGTGTCTCTAATGAAAGACAAAAATTGCTTCCCCTAAAGGTTTATGGAATGTCGGACTATGGCATTCCTTTCCTCTCCCCGAGGCAGGTTTTAAGGCTGGGTGCCGGCCTCACTGTAGACTGGTTCAATCCATCCAGAGAATCTGGATGGGCAGTGAAACTGGCATGAAAGCAAACACACACACACACACACACCTGTCTTAAAGTGATACTGCTTGTGATATTGATCCTCATAAATGGATATGGATCGGGTGGCAATTTTTATGTCTGAGAAGGTATGAGGTGACGGAGTTGAATTTAAGATACAAAATTAACAGAGTTAACAGAGAGAGAGGGACAGCTTGCTGTAGTGGTTAGAGTGTCAGACTGCAACCCGGGAGACCAGGGTTCAAATCACCACTGAGCCATGAAGCTCATTGGGTGACCTTGGACCAGTCACCATCTCTTAGCCTAACCTACCTCAACCTATCCATTCTGAAGGAAATCAGCCCTGAGTGCTCACTGGAAGGACAGATCCTGAAGCTGAGACTCCAATACTTTGGCCACCTCATGAGAAAAGAAGACTCCCTGGAAAAGACCCTGATGCTGGGAAAGATGGAGGGCACAAGGAGAAGGGGATGACAGAGGACGAGATGGTTGGACAGTGTTCTCGAAGCTACCAGCATGAGTTTGACCAAACTGCGGGAGGCAGTGGAAGACAGGAGTGCCTGGCATGCTCTGGTCCAGGGGGTCACAAAGAGTCGGACACGACTAAATGACTAAACAACAAACCTACCTCACAGGGTTGTTGTGAGGATTAAATGGGGAGGAGTTGAACTATGTACTTTGAGATGCTAGGCAGAAAAGGATAAATAAATAAATCCTTAAAATGGGAGGGGGCACTTTGGGGGAACAACATGGAATCACAGCGGGAACACATAGGAGCAGTATCTTTTTTGGTCCACGGGCCATAGGTTAGACACTCATAGTAGATGGCTACCCTAAACAAATATTTAAGAATGGCAAGGAAGACGCTGTAAAGAAGAGCTGCACAGCTATGTTAAAGGCATTGTTAAAATTAAATGGGATGGTTTGTTTTTTTAAAAAAAACAAACAGAAAGGATACTCCAGATAAAAGGGAGAGGGGAATTTGGAGAGAGTTGCCATTTCCGACAAGCTAAATATAAAGGTCTACTGATGCAGGCCAAGAGGGATTTCAGGGGCAGCCAGCAAAAAGACATTAAAAGCAAACAAACATCCAATAACAAGATAGAAGGAAAACATCGGAAAGAGGATACTTGCCAGGGAGCTGCTGGACCACCAAAGGTGCTGGTGGAGAATACTCTGTCTTCCCATCCATGACTTTAATTGGGTTTCCAATGAAACCGTTGGAAGAAATTAACATCTGGCATGCATTCCTTGCAATTGCAATAACCCCCAGCCCCTGCCACATTCCTGCTCCCGCTTGATATAAAGAGGAATAATTACTTGGTAGCAGTAGATCTATGTTTGTTTTCATATGTCACCAGTCCCTAAAGTGCTGCACTGATTTTTGGTGAGATACCAGGTCCAACTCAATGTATTAATGCTAGCAGACAAAGCTGTAAATACCCTAACATTCAATTTGTATAGAAGAAGAAGAAAAACTAGACCCCCAGGAGATGGGCATTTCTATTTCATGACTGTAAATATATATAACAATAAAAATAGCTTTAAAATAATTTCATTTGGTATTTACTAGGCTTGAATTTCTCAGTAGAGAATGTCTGGGGATTTTTCATTTTTTTAAAAATAATATCTATATTAATTGATACTTGCCCAAAGAAATAAAAAAGTTCGTGCGCAATGCAAAGTATCTTTTTAGTGCTTGCTTCGGCAGCACATATACTGAAATTGGAACGATACAGAGAAGATTAGCATGGCCCCTGCACAAAGTATCTTTTTATAATACACTGGAGTAAAAGAAATGCTTTTAAAGTTTAATATAAAAATGAAGGGAGATGGAAAGAAGGGAAAAGGGAAAAGGAAAAGAGAGGGACGGGGGGGAAACAAAAGAAGAGAGGAGGGGGATGAAAAAAAGATTTTAAAACTTCCAATTCTCTGTCCTGAAACTAAATGTAGTATTCACTCATTAACATCCATTTCCTGAAAATGTTTGTTTTCAAGCTCCTCCTAAATGCCGATTGGAGAATTCCACCTCTCCGTGGAGAAGGTTCAGCAAAATCCCACCAATGCAAATTTATCTGTCTGAAAATAGGGTGAAGACTTTGGGGAGACCATTTTGGGAAGTCTTTGGCCCAAGATGCTTATTTTTACTCTGTCTCTGATACATCCCTCCAAACCCTTCCAGGTTTCCACCATCTCTTGAAGGAGGTTCACATGACCCTACTTGTTCTGAAACAGCCTGTGAGGTGCTGCTGCTGCTGCTGCTGCTGCAGGGACTATGTGGGTTTAATCCTGCCATAGCCTTGCTCTGCATAAATACTTCCTTGCTGCTCAGTCGGGATCCTGGTGGTGCGATATGGAAAAATGGGTGAAATTGCACTAAGTGTGTTAAGTTGTGGGCAAACATAGCAGACGACACAGCGATTTCTCCAGAGCAGCTCTTTATTTGTAAGCTGGACAGAACTGAACAGCAAACAGCTCAGCCGGCCTGCTTTTATAGGCAGCCGGCTGTCAACAATGTAGCAACACAACCCAGGGTTTCCCGCCTAAAATAACTGACGTGGACCTGAGTGCAAACTACATACACAATACTCCTGGTGGCCAGGGTGAGAACTTCAATACATAACAAAGTGCTTGGTCCATGTCTTGAGCAGCTCACCTATCCCCCATGTCTGGATTCTGTTTAGAGTTAGCATGCCACCCCCCCTTTCTCTAAGGAATGTGTGTATGTGCAGAGGTAGGTAGAAATCCAAGGCTTTGTTATGTATTCAGTGGTCTCTGATCTTGAGACTAGGATTCTGAGCCCCTGTGTTCTGATTCGATACATGATATCCAATCACATGGCATTTCAGGGTTGGGGCTACTGGCATTGGTTCTTAAGCTCTGAGTTACGATTCGCAGCTTGGGAGTTTAGACAGCCAATCACATTATGAGTGGGAGTGGCCCAGGGCTTCAGAAATACATATGAGCAGTTGCTTTGCCCCTGTTGTTCAGTTCTGTTAGCTCAACAAAGTCTCTTGCTGCTATCACTGCGTATCGCCTCGTAGAAACCCATGTACACTTCAGGCTGCGTTCAGCAGCGATGACAGGAGTGCGAGGTATTCACCAATAAGAAGTTTTGCTCAGTACCAAGGTATCAGCAGAGAAGCTGAAGGTTACATGCAGTGTAGCATGATGAGCTAGCATGGTAAAGTGCTAGTGGATCTCTCTGTATACTTCTATCTTTACACGGTTTACTTTTAAGACCAGAAGAATGACCTTCTAGTAGATTAGATCATGATGTACCACCATCTCTTAAAGTTTATGTAGCTTATGCTTGTCTTGTGCCATGAGACAATAAACACTTTATATTCTAAACTGAATTGAGTGGGAAAGGAATTTCCTTAACTGGGAACTCTGGAAAAGGCAGACTACTGGAAATCAGGGAAACTGGTGTTCTGCTGGAGTTGTGCGTTTTTTGCTGGAAGACTCTGCTGGAGCTGTGCATTTTCTGCTGATCACACTGCCCAAAGTGTGGTGCAGTATCAACACAGGGATGGTGGGCCTGAGTTATGGGCCAACTGACTTCTACAAATCATAACAGGTCCCTCTCTCCCCATCAGGATCCATCCCTGTGTAGAGGATATTAATAATCCTCATGGTCTAAAATTAAAAAAGAAATTCTGAAAGGACCCTGTGAATTGAGGCAGAGAAACAGAAGCCACTTTTTCAAGAGAGGAAAACTGCCAAAAAGATGGAGGGCAGGAATTAGCACACTGCAAGCGAAAACAGCAGAGGAGCTGTTATGTAGTGCGGAGTTTCGATGTGGGAAAGGAGAACGTGTGACACCCATCTTTCCTGAGGTTGTTTGACTGTTTGGTCACATACATTTAAAGCACCATTGTACCATGTGACTCGCTTACCATGCTCAGAGTTGTTAGGAGGTTTCAATTCCCATCACAGAGCTACCATTACCAGAGTGGTTTAACAATCCATCTCTGAGAATTATAACTCTGTGAGGGGTGAACTACAGGGTCCAGAATTCTTGGAAGAGTGAAACATGCCTCAAATTTATATAGTGAGCACAAAATATTTTGGAGCCAACACAACATTTTTTATTTTTTTATGGAGCCAAGTCAAGACAATTTAGTTTTGTTTATTTTGGTCAGGCATTTTATTTTTGTCCTCTGGCCATTTTGCAGTTTGATCACTTGTGGCCTCTCTGTTTTATTACTTCTGAGGTTTATTTATTGCGTGTCGGTTATGTTCATTATGTAAGCTGACAGTGAGGATAACATTTATTTATTTATCTACCCCTCGGATGCCAAAGTGGCTTCTAAGCAGTTTACAACTATTAAATCAATACATAATTAAAATCCGCAATAACAAGTCCACTGGGGCATTAATACATCCTTAATTGAAATATTCAATAAACCAAACAGTTAAAAAGCAGAACAGTTGAAATAGCTTTTAAAAAACAGATAAAACAATAAGATGATAAATTCAGTTCAGGGGAAATAGAATAAACTTCTTACTGTCTGTTCCATCTCAGGAAAAAAAAGGAAGCAGATCTCTCTCTCTCATCCTCTCCACCCCCCACCCCCCCGATTTAGGAGCCACATGTAACACTAGTCAAAATCATAGGTAAAGGTAAAGGGACCCCTGACCAATAGGTCCAGTCATGGCTGACTCTCGCTTTATTGGCCGAGGGAGCCGGCGTACAGCTTCCGGGTCATGTGGCCAGCATGACTAAGCTGCTTCTGGAGAACCAGAGCAGCGCACGGAAACGCTCTTTCCCTTCCCGCCAGAGCGGTACCTGTTTATCTACTTGCACTTGACGTGCTTTCAAACTGCTAGGTTGGCAGTGTTGGCTTTTTGCAGTATAGTGACGCTGCAGAGAGCTTGCTGGGGAGATCATGCATTAAAAAGAAAGGACTCAAAAATAAGTTAAAGAAGGTTTTAATAAGAAAAACAAAAACTCCATTAACACTAAATACATCAACAAACCAGACCCAACCACCAACCCATCCCCCAGGGTAATGGGAGAGCTAGGTGCTGCTCCTTATATACTACACTCAGATGCTGACACACCTTAATCAAATACAACTCAGCAGCACCTGCTATGTTACACAGCTGTAAAGCTGGGTCTCGTTAGTTTGCTCTGGCCCTTGCTCTGGCCCCTTAAAGACATACACATGGAGTGGAACAATGATGAACCTTACATTTAAAGAAACCATTCAACATTTCCCCTGCGGTTCATCATTGTGGAACAAAAACATAAAGCATACTTTGTACATGTTTTTCATGTGTAACCTTTGGAAGTGCTTTAGTAAAAATGTCCGCAATTTGATTGTCACCTGGAACATATTTAAATACAACCATTTCATCAGCAATTAGCTTCTTTACAAATTCTAAACGTAATCTTAAGACTCTGGTGCGCTGCGTATTGGTCTCTGAACACAGGATAGCAAGTCCACTCTGGGAATCAAGGTAAGCTTTTACTGGTAATGTTACTTGCATCTGTAGGTCTGCGAATACTTGCAGATACCATTCTACATCACGAGTGGCCTGAACGCATGCACATAATTCACTCTCAGTTGTGGAGAGACAAATAATGTTTTGTGTCTGGGACTTCCATTCAAATGGACAACCGTTATAACAAAACACCATACCAGACACACCCCTGCAATTATTTTGTTCTACTGCATGAGATGCATCGCAGAAAATTTCAAAACCTTTATCAATACTGGGTGTAAACTGCAACCTATAATGTTTGGTATGTTTAAGGTACATTACCACCCTCTTAAGAGCAGAGAAACATTGTGTAGTGGGCTTTTCCACAAATTTTGCTAGAAAGTGAAAAGCATAAGTTATATCTGGTCTTGAGATTCTTTGAATGAAATTTAGCTTGCCTATAGCAGAATGATACAAAGTTTTGTTAGGAAATGGCTTATCTTCACCTGTAAAGGTAAAACCACACACCATAGGTGTTTCCTTCCCATTTGCATTTTCTAAACATAGCATTTCAACAAGATCATCAATTTTTGCAGTTTGATGAACCAGAAAAGATCCATTTTTGCCTTTCTCAATTTGCATGGATAAGTAATTTTTAGCTATGCCTAATTCCACCACATCAAACTTCTTCTGTAACTGTGAAACTACCTGTTCATATTCCTGTTTAGTTTTTGTAGAAATTAATACGTCATCTACATACACACATATTTTTGTTACAGAGTTTGCCCTTTCCTTTATAAACACACAATTGTCTGCCTTTCCTTGTGAAAAACCAATATCTAGCAATTCTTTTGCTAAAGTTTGGTGCCAATTCCTTCCACTTTGGTGCAGACCATAAAGGGATTTATTTAATTTGCATACCAAACCTTCAGCAGCGTCTATGCCTTCAGGGACACGCATAAAAATTTGTTCTTTTAAATCTGCAAACAAATATGCAGTTTTTATATCTAGGTGATAAACGGAATGTCCACGCTGTGATGCATCTTTTAACAAAAGCTTAACTGTTTCATATTTTACACTTGGCGAATAGCACAAATCATAATCTTCGCCTGGAATTTGTTGAAAACCTCTAGCAACTAGTCTTGCCTTGTACCTTACAACTTCATTTTTGTCATTCATTTTAACTCTATAAACCCATTTTGAATCAATAAGTCTCATATCTGGGGTTTGTGGTACAAGAGACCAAGTGTTATGCTCTTTTAAAGAAGCTATCTCAGAGTTCATAGCTTTATACCAATTTACAGCTTGGTGCATAGGTAAATTCTGAACATCACTGTAGCTTTTTGGCTCAAAAACCACCTTATTGGCATACAC